GGCAGCCAATCCAACACGAGCCACAGAATCCGTGGTTCAAGTTGGACGCCTGAAGCGGACGATATATCAAATGGATCGAAGAGTTCGTCTCGAAAACCACAACTGCTTTCACCGCACCAAATGAGGTCAAAAGACACCAGCTCTCGTTCGGACCCTGAGAATGTATCCGATTTTATGAATGAACATCACAAGCGACTGCAGATGGACGAACCGCAGCTTTACAACCACCAGCGCGAAGTAGTACTGCCTAAGGTATTTGTTTTTGCTATTTCCCTTTCAGCTTTTGCGAGCAAATTAGTCTGTTAACCAAGAGTTTTGATGGTTGTATTACTAAGCCAAGAAAGATGGCAAAAGCAGTTTAAGGAGTGCACCTCATCTACCCCTAATCCCGGCATTTTGTCCTAAGGAAACGGTGGTGATAGAGGTTTTGCGGGTGAGGAATTAAGATAGACAGTCGAATATACTTTAATAACTGCTCTATGCATTTTGATTTTATTATATTTAGAAATGTTGTCGATTTGTATCTGTAGATTTTCTTGATCTGTATTATCACTTAAAGTGTTGCGGAAAAACCCGATTATCAAAATGCGGGTTTCTTTAAGTTCATGAAAAAAAACGGAAATGGTAGCTAGGTCCAACTTACCGTGCTGGCGTTAAATGAGTATAGTCCACAACGCGAAGCGTCGCGCACACCTTCAATTTACATGCGGAGCAACTTCCTCCCAGCGGCCGCGGGGAACAAATTAGACTATATTTTTCCACTTTACACTTACTTCTACAAGGTTACGTCACTGTCTGTCCTATTTCACTACCTGCAAAACCCACAAAACCACCGTTTCCATAAGACAAACTGCTGAGGGTAGGGGTATATGGAGTGCACTACTTAAACTACCTTTGCCGAAAAAATATGCTTGTTGGACCCTTAATGCAAGAAGTAGTTTGTGTAAAACCTGTGCATCGTGTTTCACCATACCAATCAGTCAAATGCCATTCTTTCAAATAGTATTATAATTCATAAATAACTCGAACCAGGATTGTTGTTAATCCGAGTTGTGCAATAAAGAATGTAACTGAGTCAAATGTTTCTGAGGAAGACAAATGAGTAATAGTAATTAATTGTCCCTACTGTGTCCGAAATTTTTAAGAAAGCATTTCCCCCCTAGGTGGTTTACGAACTCGGACGATTTGCACTAACTAGCATATAGGGTTTTAGTTATAAAACGAGGATTCAACACACAATAAAAACCTACATGGATAAAGTTTCAAATTCATAAAGGATAGAAGCATTTTTGTAATCAAAACGAATACTCTACCCATCTGTACCCCCTTCCCCTGTTGCTTACTGGAGTCGGTGTCAATCCCTCGTTACCTGCTCTGTCGTGAACTCTAAAACACATTTCACTATAATCTTAAACTGCGGTTGGGGGAATGTAGTTTTGCGATAGGGCATTACTTGGGTATTTTTTTGGCTTACTGCAATCAATTCGGGCTTTGCATAAAGCACAGTCTGCAGTTGGATTTCATGTATTTAAAAAAACGTTAGTGCATATGTATAACCGGCAGTTAAAAACTGAGTGTTTGCATTTGACATCTCATTAGACTTAACATTTCGGGAATCCTGCCTCCCTGCGGTGGTCAGCACTGGGGAGAAGCGGTACTTCCTTTCGTGCTTTCATCAGACCAGGAAGTTTCAGCAACGTGCGGTTGTAAACCGCAAATTATGGGTCTGCATGTGATTTTGCTTGCCGATAATAGTGGGCCAGGGAATCCAAGCTCACCCAACCATGCACATTAGTTGGATGTCCACAGCTAAATGTTTGGATCCCACTGTTTGAGCGTTCTCCCTTATAGTGATGAACGCAGTAGGTATGTTAAGTAACCGATATAGTATCGTACCTATCACAAGGAATGTGTATAAGTTTGTGAAAAATCTATTATTATTTGGACACCAGCTTAAATTTATGGACCAAAACTCTCAACTAATCACGCATGATTATAAGTGAAACGTAAACACAAAATGAACATTAAAAAAATTTCTTTTGGAAATAACATTTTTAGGAAAGCTGAAATTACTAGGGGTTTTGGCTGATCTGAATAATTCATTTGATTCCAGTGGGAAAAAGTCTGCGGCTACAGTGGGATTTGAACCCACGTCAGTAAGGGGAAAGTTTTAGTACAGCCAACGCTCTAGCCAAGTTCAGCACGAGGCCCCCACTGGAGTCCGTGAGTTTAATCACACCTGGGTCACTTTACCCACCCAGCCTATTGCAGCGTATGCAATCCACCTGAAAAAATCAATAAAACTTGTAGTTTCCTAAGAATGAACCGCTTTTTTGAGGAAAAGATGTTCTTTGGGACAAAAAAGTTAAATCTAATCAGTAAATTTTTTTATCCTGTTTTCATTCTGTTTTAACTGATTTAATTGAATCAAAAAGGAGGAATTTTATATGCAGCG